ACACAGCAGGCCAAGCAGCATCAGAGGAGCAGGAAAGCTGACGTTTCAGGCCTAGACCGTTCTTCAGAAATGACCCTCTCTGAAGAAGGGTCTAGGCCCAAAACGTCAGCCTTCCTGCTCCTCTGATGCTGCTTGGCCTGCTGTGTTCATCCAGCTCTATACCTTGTTATCTCAGATTCTCCAGCATGTGCAGTTCCTACTATTTTTGATCTCTAACTTTGTTTATTGATTATTATTTATTACAGACATGCCAAATTTCCTGAGCCTCCTGAGGTAAAAGAGGTGTTGTTGTGTCTTCTTCACTGTCACAACTACGTGGGAAGCCCGGGACAGGTTGTCAGTTATCACCACTCCTAGGAACTTGACGCACTCAACCCTCTCAATCTCTGCACTGTTGAAATAGATGGTGGCGTGTTCTCCTTTCTTTCTGAAGTCAGTAATCAGTTCTTTAGTTTTGCCGAATTGAGAAAGAGGCTGTTATCATTGCACCACATCACCAAGCCCTCTATATCCATTCTGCATTCTGACTCATTATTGATTGATGTTTGTCCTGCCACGGTAGTGTCATCAGCAAACTTGTAAATGGCAGTCATTCAGAATTTGGCAACTCAGTCGTGAGTATACAGGGAGGATAGTAGGGAAGGCTGAGGATGTATCCTTGGGGAGCTCCAGTGTTGAGTGTTATCGTGGAGGAGATGCAGTTGTCTATCTTCACTGATTGCGGTCTATGGGTCAGAAAGCTGATCCAGTTGCAGAGAGCAGAGCTGAGACCTAGGTCTTGGAGATTTGAGACCAGCCTGGAGGGGGATAATGGTGTTGAAGGCGGAGCTGTAATCGATGAGCAAGTGTCTGACATAAGTGTCCTCATTGTCCGGTTGGTCTGGGGAAGAATGCAGGGTTAGGGAAATGGCGGCTGCTGTGGACCTGTTATGTCAGTAGGGAAATTGTAGAGGATTGAGGCAGTTTGGGAGACTGGAATTGATGTGGGCCCTGACCAGCTTCTTGAAGCACTTCATGATTATTGAGGTCAGAGCCTGTGGGCAGTAGTCATTAAGGAATATTGCATGTGCGTTCCTAGATGATGGTGGTCTTCTTGAGGCAGGTTGCGACTTCGACTTGGAGTGAGAGGTTGAAGATGTCCGTGAATACCTCCACACAGGATCTAAGTGCACGCTAGGGACTCTGTCTGGCCTGTCGCTTTTCTTGGGTTGACTCCCAGGAAGATCGATCTGACACCTGCAGCGGTAACGGAAGGAACAGGTGCGTCCAGGGCTGTCGGGGCAGGTGACACCACACTGCTGGCTTTCTGCTCAAACTGAGAATAGAGAGCATTGAGCGCATCAGGGAGGGATATGTCTTTGTCTGCTACCTTGCTATGCTTCATTTTGTACCCCGTTATGTTGTTTAGGCCTTGCCACAGGCAGTGGGGAGTCTGTATGGTTGGTTTGGGCTTGTAATTTAGTACAGTACTGCCTCTTCTCATCCCTGATGGCTTTGCAGAGGTCATGTCTGGATTTTCTGTATAGGTCAGGATCATCTGACTTGAATGCTGCATGCCTAGTCTTCAGTAGGGAATGGATTTCCCAGTTCATCTGAGGTTTCTGGTTGGGGAACACCCAGATTGACTTCTTTGGCGTGCAGTCCTCCACACATTCGCTAATAAAGTCTGTGATGGTGGTGGCGTACTTAATCCAGATTTCCTGCTGGTACTTGAATACAGTCCAGTCCACCGAATCCAAGCAGTCCCGGAGAAACTGTTCTGCTGCCTCAGACCGGCATTGTATTTCTTTCTGTGAACGATCCTCCCATTTCAGAGTCTGCTTGTAAGCTGAGAGGAGGAACACAGCATTGTGATCTGATTTTCCAAAGTGTGAATAGTGGATGGAACGGCAGACAGAGGGGTTGTCATTCCAGTTGCAAATGTTAGCCTGGCTTTGATTGAAAGTTTAACTTAATTTCATGTTTTAACTTGAAAGCAAAACCTACTATTCTGATTTGTCGGTATGCAGCTGACATTATAGTTGAGCTGCAGCTTCTGTGTAAGGTATTTCAACTAGACTTCTGGAATATATTTTACTAATCAAAGTCCTGATGGCATTGAAATGCATGAAAGGGAATATAGTTTATTACTCAGTTGAACAGAGATAACATCTGACCATTCACCACATGACCTGGATGAGTTGTGTCTTGTGACAAGTGAAGTCAAATCAGTCTTACAGATTGGTTATAAAACATGAGCAATATAGATAATTGCACTTAATATGAACTTATAAGTAGAAGTTTATTTTTACGGCCACACATTTATTTTAGCTTGCCCCTGATTTCCTCAGTGTCTCACATCCCAAGCATAATTCTCCAATATGAAGGGCAGCTGACAAATGTGAGTATTCATTCTGTTGCTGATTTGTAATAGAACTCATGATAAAATCACATCCAGTTGTAAACTGGCTACAGGTTTGCAGAATTTGTCTCAATTGTCATACAGAAACAACTCAATCTATAACTGTCAGAGACGAAATTCACCACAATTGTTTTAGGCTGAATAGATCATTAATGTTTATCAAGACCTCATCCAGTGATGTTACCAAGCCATTACTTCTTCAGAGTAAACATAGTGCTTTGTTTCTGGAAAAATGAATAACCTAATATTTAGAATATGGCAGACATAGGTCTTTTATCTTTGCTCTATTTAAAATATTCCTAAGTTATGTAGTGTATTAATAGCCTTGCAAAAGTTAACCTTCAGCAGTAAATAATTGCTTCCTGGCTTGAATGCTTTGTAGTAACTACAACTGGAAACTATTCTGAGAAATCACTGAAATTCAATATTTGCAACGAGTGAAAGATTGCAAAAAAAATCTTGAACTCCAGTGATCTGGGGAGAGAGACTGCATTAAAAACTTGACCAATACTGTTTTTTTTGTTTGGAATGGAAATATTAAGTATACACTGGAATGATATGGCTGTTGTTACAGTCACATAGCAAATATTCATAATCAACCTTTTACCAATTTCTGAATTACCCAATGTGCATCTATGTTATTAATCTATCAGTAATTTTAACTACTGAAAGTAGATTATATGCTAATAACTTATAAGCTTTTGAAAAGAACACTGACATTACAATGGTGTAGTTGAACAAGCACAATGTGTGGATCACTTTCATGGAGTTCTGATATACCACATTATTGCATTCATAGCAGATGTCTGACTGGGAAACAATGTAAATGCATAAGCTATTAAAACCCTGGTACAACACAACCTTGGATACATTATTTTATAGCACAATTGCCTGGTTTAAAATTTCCTTGCTGTAGTATGACTCCTGTACATTTCAGCTTGATAAAGAGACTCTACTGTATATATAGTACTAGCTGTAGCTAAAATGTATATATTCTGCTTTCTTCTCTTCAGCTTATCCCATGAGGAGCACGGATGCAATCATCCTTTATATGGTCATGGTGTGTGTAAATGGCCTGGTTGTGAAGCAGTCTGTGAAGATTTTGGACAGTTTCTAAAGTAAGTCCAGCCTTGTCTTTTGCTCAAGATTGATTGACGTTTGATTAACTTGGGAATCTAGGAGAGAATGCCATTGACCCAAATAAAATACCATCTATGGTGTAGAGAATTGCAGTAAACTAGCTTGTAAAACTGGAATGGCAGTCATGGGAATGATGGTCAGAATCAAACTGATAGTCCCATGTTTGTACTAAATGGAGGATAAATTGGAGGGAGGGGGAGGAAGAAAGGTACAGTATACTTGCGCTATGCCAGTTAATTTATGTATCTAGGCTGATATATACTTAAGCCAGTTGAAAAGAAAATGAACATGTGCAATTCTACATTTGTGAGTAATGGATGATGTATCAGGGAAAAAAAAAAGCAGACATTGTAAGTAGCATGCATATTTATTTCCTTATTTGTTTTTTGAGCAAGCTGCAGTGCTGGTTCATAAACTCCTGGTTATTAATTAACTGCTAAACATAATTGACCAACTGTTGTTTCAGTTTGTGGTAGTCAATGCAGTGCAAGTAGGAACTCTTATTCTATATGATAAACAGCATTGCTTGAAAACCATTTCTGCACAGGAATTAAAACACTGCATTCTCAACTAAAGCTTGAATGTTATTAATTCTTGCATTAAATTGGTTTTTTTAATGTTACCAGGGTAAAAAAAAGTACTTGCGTACAAAGTCAACCAAAATTTTATAGTGTTTAACCATTTGTGAACTACATTCGTACATAATAGATGCTTAGTAGTCACAGAAAGTGTTCGTCGTGTTCAAAAGATGACCACAATCTTGAGTTAAGAAATTCTGTGACTTTATTTAATAATTGTTACTTCATATTCACACAAAAATTATACTGGTTGAGTAATGAGACCACTGTCTCATTTTGGATACTGAAAACGTTTCAGTACTGAAATGGCTAAGAGATTAGGTCATTTTGCAGACAGTGATACAATCCCATCTGTTTTTAATACTGAAGTATACAAACAGCTTTAGAGAATGGAATGTAACACTTAAAAACAAATTACTGACACTTGACTGTTGTATTTTTTACATCAGCTTCTTTTAATAAAATTTCACACAAAATGGACCCAAATAAGTTTTAAGCTGTATGGAAAATGAAAGAAAGACTTATTATAAGTGATTTTTTTGAACTTGTTTTTATTAGCTCACTATGGTGTAGTTCAGTTGTTTGTCTAGACTATTCAAACTCAGCAAGCATTTAAAGAAAAACTTTAATTATAAAGAGACTTCTATTTAATATGTTCCATGAGTACAAGGCCTTCAAAATTTTCTGTAGATTCGAAACACTTCCGTATGAGTTTTTGCAGCATTGGTGTTTTTAATTTGATGAAGACTGTGTTAAACTGTTATGTATGTGGAAAAATGTCAATCTGTATCATAAATTCGAAACTTGTTCAACATTTCTCGAGAATTTGATTGAGGGGACAACGAGATAAATTTTTAAAATGTTTCCCTTTGTTTACATAGCATGATTTTTTTTCCTCCCCCAGATAAGTTATTTTAAGCCATGTACTTGAGGTCCTCAGCTTCATTAGGTATATTGGTATTAGTTAAGATTTTGCTGTATACAAAACCAAATGTTGCTTGGTGATGTTAAAACCTTTCATGGAGTGGTCTAAAGAGGTCAGAATGACCCGTATGCCACAGTGCCCTCTAGTGATATCAGACTTAAAGGGAAGATAACTTATTTTTCAATTGATAGGTTTCCTCACAATTTTAAAAAGATCCTGTTCACTTTATTTAAATATCCGTAGGCTTTGTCAGGGAAGATGGAACGTTACACAAAATCTTAGCTCACTTGCATTCCTTAACTTTTGTTTTAAACAAAACTTTTCCTTATTTTAAGGAAAATTAGGAGAAATACATAAACTGTTAGTTGGACAAAAAGGTCACTTAATACATTAGTATGTTTGCTTAAAAACAGTAATTCTCTTGGATTCAAACTCTTGGAATCTCATGAACACAAGCTTTCATTGGCATCCAGCTGATGGTGCAGCCTGGTTGGGTACAGAAGAATGATGCTAGCAACAGGAAAGAAAAGATTTCCGGAAATATGCAAGGAAATATGATGGAGGAAAATAAGAAGGCAGGGCATTAAAGGTCCAGGGCTCTAAAGGGAACCTGGCATTTGGCCACTAACTAGGGAGTAAAGGAATATAAATAGAAATATAACAATGTGGAGCTAAGGGAATACAGCAGGCCAGGCAACAGCAGAGGAGCAAGAAAGTTGACGTTTCGGGTAAGGACCCTTCTTCAGAAATGGGGAGGGGGAAGGTAGCTCAGAAATAAACAGAGAGGAGGTGTAGGCCTGGGGAAGGTAGGTGGGATGGTGACAGGTGCGTGCTGGTAGGCAGTGGTGGGGATTGGTCAGTGAGGTGGGAGGAGCGGATAGGTGGGAGAGAAGATGGACAGGTTGTATCAGGTCAAGGAGGTGGGGATGAGAGGGAGAGTTGCTCATGGGATGAGCTTGGAGGTGGGAAGATTTTGAAGTTGGTAAAAACCACATTTAGGCCATTTGCCTGTACGCTCCCGAGACGGAATATGAGGTGCTGCTCCTCCAGTTTCCGGGTGGCGTCATTGTGACATGGGAGGAGACCCAGGATGGATATGTCACCCAGGGAATGGTGGGGTGGGGGGGGAGTTAAAATGGTTTGCGACCGGAAAGTGTTATCGCTTGTCACGAACAGAGCGCAGGTGCTCTACAAAATGGTCTCTGAGCCTCTGTTTGGCCTCACTGATGTGGAGGAGGCCGCATCGGATGCAGTAGACCAAGTTGACAAATGTGCATGGAACCTCTGTCTGATGTGGAAGGTTTGGTTTGTTCCTTGGATGGAGGTGAGGGGGGAGGTGTAGGGGCAGGTGTAGCACTTACTGTGGTTGCAGAGAAGGGTGCCGGGGGTGGTGGGGCTAGTGGGGAGTGTGGAGCGGACGAGGGAGTCACAGAGAGTGCAGTCCCTATGAAAGGGATGGGGAGGGAACTATATCTTTGGTTGTGAGGTCAGATTGTAGGTGGCGGAAGTGGCAGAAAATGATGCGTTGGATGGGGGAGTTAGTGGGGTGATATGTGAGGACAAGTTCTGTGATGCACATTTTCATAGTCTTGAGAGGAATTAGAAAAAAGACTTTGCCAGGTGCTAGTTCCACTTGGAACTGAAAAAGGCCCACAGAAGCAAATCTCCTGAGATGCACAAAAATCAAGAGACTTTTGGAAACTGTAACTGGTTGAAAGCTGAAGATCTTTTAAAATGACCAATGAATTATTTTAAAGACTACACATATTTATAGATCAAAATTGTAAATTAACTTTGAAGATCAACCAGTTTTGTACTGGAAATATGTGAAGTGAAAATTCAGTTCAGTTTAATATGCTGTAAAGTATTATGTCTATTAATTTAAAATTAATAGATTATTTTAACTTCGGCAAATTTGTTTATTTTTATAACATTTCGGTGACTTCTAAAATATCCTTTAAATTCTTTTGGGGCATAAGTATAGCCATTCAGTGTAGCCTAATTACTGTGTAGTCATTTATCAGCACAATATAAATGTACTTATAAATGAAGATTCTGGGCCAGGTTTCCATCTCCCGGTTGAGGTGTGAATCGACTAGCAAAATACTGAACTTCATTTTGTTGCTGGAAAAACATTTTTCCCTGTCTCCTGTTCCGACACGATGTTCGTCTGGACTTTTTTTGGGTTAGGAAGGTCTTGACTACAAATGCGCAAGTACCTCTTCTGATATCAGATTCCAAATGCAGGGACAATTTACATTTTCTTCTGAATGTAATTTTCATGTGCTCGTGTGGTTTAAAGAAGCCGTAAAATGTTCCTCTTTGGAAAGTTCATGAACAGTGGGGGAACACCTGGTGAAGGGCCAGAAACATTCTGAAAGGCAAGTGAAATTTTTGACACCTTCACATATCACCATAAGATAATTTTTTATATTGTAGATTTGTTTACAATTTGAGGTGATTCAACACAGGTATCTTTCCTTCAGTAGTGTTGACCACCATTGTGTAAGCCTTGTAATGCATTGCAGTACTTTTTCCGTCAGAGAAAGTACCATAATGTTTTACGCTTTTATTAAAATGTTCTATACTTTTTTATTTGTAATGTTCCTGCAAGCCTCTGTTATCATGTTTTGTGCCATAATTGAACTTGCTGGAGCAATCTAGTAAAATCCAGCTTTTGTGGGTTAAAGAAAATCCGTCTGTCTGCTTTCCTCTAATGATTAACAGGAACTGTGCTTTGAAATAAGAACGGGACCCCATTCTATTCTTCCCATTTTTCAGGCAACATAGCTGGAAGAAAATGTTCCCTCTAAACTGCGTGGCCAGTCTGAGGGTGTGTGCATCCCAGTTGGCATGTTAATACTGTCCTCAATTGACTTCTGCTTTCACACTGAAGAAAATAAGGATGGAGGGAATGTAGGCTGTAGGCTTGTATAATGGCAGTTGTAGTATTGTGTGACCTTGGTCAGGTTTCAAAAGTTCTAATGGCTTTAGCTCAGAAAGTGGTATATTGATCCAATTTGAAACTTATAAGAGCAGGTCAGCTGGTGGGAATTCTCTGCTCACCAACTCACCTGACTTTCAACAGCCAGACACAACTCAGTAGTGTAGTAGAATACTTGGCAGTTGTATGTGAGTGTAGCTCCAACAGCACTTGAAACTCAGTATAATCCAGGACCTTGATCAGCACCTCATCAACCATCTTCCCTCTACTGCTAATGCATAGTAGCAGCAGTATGTGCTATCTACAAGATGCACTGCAGCAATTCACCGTGGCTTCTTTGAAACCTTTCAAACTTAACCGCCTGGAAGGACAAGGGCAGCAAATGCAAGATAAAACCACTGCCTGCAACTCTTCTCTAAGGCATACACTATCCTAACCTGGAACTATCTTGCCAGTTCTTCACTTTCGCAGGATCAAAATCCTGGAACTCCCTTTCTTATGGGTCTACCTACATCACATGGACTGCAGTGAATCAAGAAGGCAGCTCAATACCATCTTATCAAGGGCAATTAGGGTGGAGCAGTGAGTTTTGTCAATTGATGCTTACATCCCACAAAAAAGGGTAGAGTCGTAATTTCAACCAAAGAAACAAGCTATTGCTGAAGACAATATATGACTATGTTAATGACTTTATTAACAACTTGTCTGTGAATGGAGAAGGCATAATTTGTAAGTTTGCAGGTGACACAAAAATCTGTAGTGCTGTTGGTACCGAGGCGGAGACTGATATTGATCAGCTAGGAAATTGGGCAGAGCAGTGGCAGAGGGAATTTAATCCTGATAAATGTGATGTGATACATTTTGGGAGATCTCATCAGGAAGGACATATACAATGAATGGTAAGTCCCTAGGGAGAGTACTAAGGAACAAAATAAACTTGGTGCACTAATCCATAGATCCCTGAAGGTGTCAGTCCGGGTAGACAGGGTGGTGAAGAAGATGTACTGAATGTTTGCTTTCATTAGCTGGAGCTGACAGTATAAGAGCAGGGAAGTTTTACAACTCTATAAAACATTGCTTAGGCCACGGATGAAATACTGTGCGTAGTTCTGGTCACCAGACTATCAGGAGCATGTGATTGCACTAGAGAGGGTGCAGAGAAGATTATTCACCAAGCTGTTACCTGGTATGAAAAGTCTTGGTTTTGAGGAGAGACTGGATAGGCTGGGTTTGTTTTCCTTGGAGCAGAGGAGGGATTCTGATTGAGTTATACAAAAGTATGCGAGGCACAAAGTAGATTGTGAGAATCTCTTCCCCATGGCAGACATGTCTAAGACCAGAAGGCATAAGTTTAAGATGAGGGGCTAGTGGTTTAGAGGTGATATGAGAAATTTTTTTTCACCCAGAGGGTGGTAGAGGCAGGTACTGTCGCAACATTAAAGAAGCATCTGGATGAGTACTTCAAATACCAAGGCATAGTAGGCTATGGACCAAGTGCAGGTTAATGGGATTAATGTAGTTTGGCGTTTGTTGGTTGGCATAGCTATGACGGGCTGAAAGGTCTGTTTCTATGCTGTGTGACTGTATGACAATCAACAGATTTGTACATCAAATTTATGACCCATGGATAAATGTACATCTTAGTATGAAGCAAATTATGCAGTGTTGCTGTATAATACTCAGAAATTTGAGTGTCAAACCTGGGAATGTAGAAGCTAAAAGGGGGCCCTCCCTCTTCACCATATTTGAGTCATATCTGAAGTATTTGAAATTGCACGATGAGCCTTCCATATAGTTCTTCAAAACCACAATTTTTGCATACGTTATCAGAAATGTACAACTGGAAATTTTTAACTGGTTTCCTGAAGGTTTTAAAAGCATCTACAAGAGTTAGCCTTATTAAAGTACGGGCTGGAGTTTTACCAGGACACCAAACAAAATCAGGATGATAGCAGGTTAAAATTGGTGTCAAGGTAGAGAAGTATTTTCAGACAGGGAAAACTGTTTTTTAATATCCCTGGGTGGTAAGAACTCAGTAGCTAATGTTGATGACATCAGTTTTCTATTTTTTGCCCTCTTGTCTGTAACCTACAAATACAATCCAGCCAAAATAAATAGTCGTATCAATCAGTGCCCAGGGAAACCTTTTCCTAGCTTTAGGTTTCAACTGCTATTCTCGTCCAATATGTAATTAAAAATAATTGTGGCTTAATTATTAAATTGGAATTGTTTCCTACTTTAATAAATTACATTGGTTGTTTGTTGATATTAGCTGATTGGGAAACCCACATTACTGTTGTGAATCTTAAAATACATGTTATTTCTGCCACTGAGCAAAGATACGTGCAACATTTTTGTAGATATGTTAACATTATTATCTGTATTTAGGTAAAATTATAGAAAAGCCTTGGTGGTGATGATAAACTGACTAGAATGGAAGAAAACCCAGCTTTGTCCCATAAAGGGGTCTTCATTTAGTTGGTTGTTTTATTGTAGCAATTTACATTAGCAACTGTCATTTCACTAGAAAGCTTTTGCATACACTTCATCTGAGGCCTAAAAAGTGACACATGCCAACATTCATAGTCTCTCTTTATGTCAGTTCCACTCTTTTATAGCCTTTTTATTTGAACCACATTTCACTGAGCTGCATTAGAGCATATTTGAATATTTCATTTCCTATTAATTATGCACTGTGACCCACGCTGTCATTACGGGAAGAGAGTGACCCATCTAATGTAACAAAGTCCATAAAGAATTGTTGGACATTCCTGCTGATGGGAGAAGATTCCTGAATGGTACCGTAACCATGGCCAGGTGTGGTCAGTCCACTGCTGTGATGTGTAGTAAATGACAGAAATGAATTTTAGAAAGCAAGCACAAACGACATTTTGCTAAACTGATGAGCTGAGCATGAAGGCATGCTTAGTGACAGTGACCTACATGGTCATTGAAGATCTGATATAATTTATGATATATATAATATATTGGATCCATTAGTGAGCATAATGAAGTAGTGAAATGAAAGGGTATTTGTGAAATCAGTTCAAACATCCTGCTAGGATTATGATTAAATGATTAATGAAATGCTACTGCATAAGCATTTTCAAACAGTAATTCATGCAGAGGCTGATAAAAATCCTCCAATCATATTTCCTTCACATGTGAACCTTATCTAGACCATTTTATATAAATCATGAAATATGCTGTCTGCTGGCAAGGTACTTATTTAGATTAGTTATAAACGTGCAGAAAAAGGGAACATCTTTGCAGTATAAAATAATCATGCATAATTATATTCATAATTCAAGCTTGTGACAGATTCCATCTTTCTTATTCTTGTTGTCCTTTGCCTTCATTCTGGCTTCATTTGATTTCTGTTATCTTGATGACATAATTAACTGTTAAAGCTCAGAAAATAAGGAGACCTTCGAGAAGAAAAAGGTTGGTTGCTTTTTAATGGCACCAAAAGCTTTATGTGCCATACATATTCAGTCATACATTTCTGGAAGAAAATCATTTTGTGTCATTTTGGTGAATTACAAAACAGTACTTTCACAGGTTGATGGGATTTTACCTTCTTTTCACATTAAAATGTTGATTCCAGCTCATTTTTGTTGTCAATTTTTGGCTTGTTAGCTTTTTTTTTTGCAAGTCATAAAGACTCTTTATGATCAATTTTGAAATATTAAATGCTTTTCTTAAAATAAAAGGATTAAATATGTACAACTGTGTATGAGTTGTTTCTGTCTCAGCAGCTTTTCTATATTTTTAAAATGTTGATTATCTGAATATTGCACATTTTTGTTTCTTCTCAGACACCTCAACAATGAGCATGCACTGGATGACAGAAGTACAGCACAGTGTCGAGTACAGATGCAAGTTGTACAACAGCTGGAACTCCAGGTTGGTTTTCTTCTGAAATAGGTGCATTCATCGAATTATCTAACTGGTTTACCATCATTAAAAGTCTAGCATTAACAAGCATGCAATACCCACCAGCTGTTTCAATTTAAGTTCTTTACCGTAGTCAGGGGCTACAGGCTCTTCTGGCACACTGGTAGTGTCTCAACCTCTGAACCAGGAGACCCAGGTTCAAGTCTCACCTTCTCCAAAGATGTGTAACAACATCTCTGAACAGGTTGATTAGAAAATATCTACAGACTACTATGTGTTTGTAACAAAAAGAGATAGTCAGGGGCTAGAGTTCTCTGGGCACAGACAGTATCACCACCTCTAGGTCAGATGGCCCAGGCTCAAGTCCTACCAACGCCAGAAGTATATGGTTATATGCCTGAACATATTGATTAAAATAATATGAAGAATTGAATAATCAGGGGCAGGAGGAGCTCTTGGGCCAGAATGTCTGAGTTCAAACCCCATCTGCTATGGAAGTATGCCCTAGCATCTCCAAACAGGTTGTTTAGAGGATATCTAATCAGGGGTCTTCTGGCACAGTGATAGTGTCCCTGCCTCTGAACCAGGAGCCCAGGCTCAAATCCCAGTTCCTCCAGTAATGTGTCAAACATCTTTGAACAGATTAATTGGAAAATATCTACTAGTCAGGAGCTAAGGCTCTTGTAGAGCAGTTGTAGTGTCCCATCACTTAACCAGTAGGTGGAGGTAGGCTGGGTCATTAAGTAAATTCAAGGCTGAAGTAGACAGATTAAGAGAATCAGGGGTTTATGGGAAAAGGATGAAAGTGGAGGTGAGGATTGTCAGATCAGCCATAACCTCTTTGAATGGTGAAGCAGGTTCAGTGGTCTACTTCTGCTTCCCTGTCTTATGCTTTAGAAGTGTGTAACAGCATCTAACATGTTGATTGGAAAATATATAGTCAGGGGGTAAAGAGGGCTTTTGTGGTGCAGTGGATATGTCCCTATCACTGAACCAGCAAGCCCTGGTTTAAATCCCACCTGCTCCAGAGGTGTGTGATAACATTTCTGAGCAGGTTGATTTAGATAACATTTAGTTAAGGATTATTATTATCATTCTGATTATGTATCTTCGGTATGACCTTCCACCCTGTAGGACTATGAAATGATAGCCACTCTTCAAATCATGTACTTTGCTGAAGTCTTTTTTTCATTATGATGTATATATCTATTCAATTTACCATCAAGAATTTGTATAAAAACAGAAAACCTACTGTTCCTCAGTACTTCACCCTCCACTTTAATATCTGTGCTTCCTTTTCCTGGCCTGCTTGACTTCCAGTGTCAGTTACTTGAACCTCTTTCTCTCTTGGTCAACGACAAAAGAAAGGAAGGAACTCATTATCCTTCGTAGTGTCAGTGAAGACGTTGTATTTATGCTATAATCCCATTTAGTAGTAGTCTTTTCATTTGCATGATTGAAGAGGCTTGAAAATGAACAGGGCAGAAGCAAAGAGAAAAACAGGGTTGGGTGCAGGCACAGAGGATTGGTTGGACAAGACATCAAATAATAATTTGGAGGGGCTGAGTTTGAATTCTGCCTCAGCTGGAATAAAATTCAACATTTGTGATAAATAAAAAGTCTGAAAATGACTTGTTGAGGGGAAAAACGAAGTTAGACAGAAAAAATTGCTAATCACATTGGTGTACAATATCACTTGTAAAAATTTCAAAGCTTTTAAATGCCTTTAAGAACAATGCACCCAAAAGAAACAGTTCAATTTTTAAGAGCTTTCTCAAAGGATCATAAACGTGAGCAATTAGCGGAAATTCTCAATGGTGCTTAATTCATTTGGGTGGGGCAGCTTCGAGCAAAGTAATTTATAAACTAATGAAAGATTGTGGGAATTTCTGCAATATTTTTTCACTGCTATGGTCAATTATGGGCTAATTGCATTGGGAATAATAGCATATTCCAGCCGAAACTCTTACCTGTATAAATCTTAAGGGATTCTGGGTATGCAGTGTAAAACTGTTGCACAAAATGTCTGAACACCAACAGGCAAAAGCACACTTTGGAATAAGACAGTAAATTTAGTATTAGAATAGTACAGACCTTTTGCTGATTAGCATGTAAAGAAGATGCAAGAAAGGTATTAGATCACAAATACCCTTTGTATTTCTGTCACTCTGAGGGTCTTATAGAAGCTGCAAAAGAAAACTAATGACAATGAAAAATCCAGAGGAAGTGGTACTGTGTTTTAAGGATAATATTCCTGACAGGGCAACACACCTTCTTCAGTGTCAGTCGTTGTTCTGTTGAAGTGTCGAGATTAGGAATTGAAACCATTTCCTTTTAATTCGGAGCTGAGAGAGCATCCCATTGTGACGTGGCTGAAGCTTAACAGAAGTTGTACAACTGATCTCAGCAGTTCTGGATTAGAGGTGGTGTGTAAAGGTTTGTTGTGGGAACATGCAATTCAACATGCATATTGTAGTTTGGAGCTATCAGTGGTGATTGATAGTGGTGCCAGCATTCTTAATGTCACATGGCTGAGCAAGAATCTATCCCATTCTTAGCACTTGCCATTGTTGTGTGCTGGAAGGACTTGCAGGTTGGTACTGATTGTGTTTAGCTTCATTGTTATTATTTATTCACTGGATCTAGGCATTCTTGGCTTGATTAACATTCATTGTCTGTCCCTAGATGCCCTTGGAAAGGTGGTGGTGATCTGCCTTCTTGAACCGCTACAGTCCATGTGCTGTAGGTAGACCCTCAAAGATGTTAGGGAGGTAATTTCAAGATTTTGACCCAGTGACACTAAAGAAATGACATATTTCCAAGTCAGCATGTTGAGTGGCTTGGAGGGTGGTGTTCTCGTGTATCTCTTGCCCTGGTCCTTCTAAATGGAACTGGTCATGTGTTTGGAAGGTGCATTCTAAGAAGCTTTGATGAATTTCTACAATCGATCTTGTAGATTGTACACACTGTTGCTACTGAGCGTCAGTGGTGGAGGAAGTAAATGTTTGTGGGTATGTTGCCAATCAAGTGTGCTCTTTGTCCTGTATGGTGTCAAGCTTCTTGTGTTGTTGGAACTGCATCATCCAGGTAAACATGGAATATTCTTGACTTGTGCCGTGTAGATTGTGGTCAAGCTTTGGAGAGTCAGAAGGTAAGTTATTCACTGCGGTATTCCTAGCCTTTGACCTGCTTTTGTAGCCACTGTATTTATGTAGCTAGTCCAGTTCAGTGTCAAGTTAATGATAACCCCTTAGATCGTGATAGTGGGGTATAACACCATTGAATGTCAAGGGACGATGCTTAGATTGCCACTTCTTGGAGATGGTCATTGCCTGGGCATTTGTGTGCTGCAAATTTTAATGCCACTTTTTAGCTTGGATATTGTCCAGATCTTCCTACATTTGAAATGGGACGTTTCTGTATCTGAGGAGTTGTGAATGGTGCTGAACATTGTGCAGTCATCAGCAAACATCCCCATTCCTGGCCTTATGATGGAACAAAGTTGCTAAAGATGCTTAGGCCTAGGACACTACTCCTGAGGAACTCCTACAGAGATGTCCTGAAGCTGAGAATCTCCAACAACCACAACAATCTCCCTACGAGCCATGTATATCTCCAAGAAGTGGAGAGTTTATCCTTGATTCCCATTGACTTCAGTTTTGCAAGGGCTCCTTGATGGCACACTCAAGGGCAGTGTCGGTCACCTCATTTATAGACTTCAGCTCTTTTGCCCACGATTGAGTCAAAGCTGTAATGAACGTGGCTTTCTTGGCCATCAGGTTCTGTGGAGGGATTTGAACCAGACCTTCTCGCTCAGAGGCAGGGCTATTATCACTGAGCCACAAGACTTCCACACAGCAGCAAGTGGTTTCATTTGTGGCTATGATTAAGCCGCCAGTCTTCAGGTTAGCAACAGAATGCATTAACCACAGAGATTTCCATTAAATCTGAGCTGTCACTTGTTCAGCTAAAGGTGTTTGTTGAAGTGCCTGAATCGAGAACAAGCTGAAACTTTGGCAGTGGTGGGACTCAAACTCATGCCTCTGCAGAAACTGGAAACTAAATTAATCTCTTAGACCACTTGGGCATGCTATCACAAGTATATTTCCTACTAAGTGCATAGTTCCTTGTGATTCCCAAATGTAGACACCTTAATTTATACCATGAGCAAATGACAGCTTAAAAAAACAAACAAAAATAGTTTCCCTAAATGAGACAAAAACAAAAAAAATGTAGAGCACTGAGCAGGTCATATGCTAGCCATAGAGCATGTGATGTGCAGGGAAGGGGGAGAACCAAAGGAAATGTCAATGATAAGCTGGAGGGCAAGAGATCAGGAGAGATTTAATGACAAAAGTTTTCTTTGGTACGGATAATGAGTAAAGAAAGAAAGATATGCCCAGATAGGGTGTGAATGTCTAGCCAACAGCTGTCTAAACGCAAAATGAATAAATAATGAAAGAAATGAGAAAAATCAAACCAGCATTAAAAATGAAGATTCAAAAATTTTTTTAAAGAAGTAAAAATTGAAGCAGAAGCTATGATCTTGCAGAATACTGTAGTCAAGTCACAAGGTTTATTGTGCTTGTGTTAAGCTTCTTTGGAATAATGGAGGAGATGAAGGAAAGTAAAGTCAGATTGGGGACAAGGTGGAGAATGAATTGACAAGCGACGGGAAGCTCAGGGTTATGTTTACGGATATAATGGCAGCAATGGTAGATTTTTCTGAGGGATCACTTATAGAACAATGAAACTGTAGAGATTAGAACTCCTATTTCCCCATGTTTCATGCCAAAACGCTTAGCTACGTCCTTTGTCACTTCCAGACTCGATTACGTCAATGTTCTACTTGCCAAAGCCCAAGTCCCTTTACATATTGCAACTTTTCCAAAAATGTCTCCACATGCTCTGGTAGGTAAAGGATTTATGCAGTTGTTCCATGTACATAGAACACATGTACATGAAGAAGGCAGAAAGGAAAGTGACCTTTGTAAGGGAGGGGGAGAATG